CCCCAGGTGGATATTTTGCCATTCAAAGGCTGGTGAGGAGAGCTAGAAAGAGTCCATCTAAGAGACATGTATGTGTTCCTGGATCGTGTGCCTGACCTCTATCTGAGAAGTCTTAGGGACAAGAGGATTTGCTATTTTCTTAGTAGTGGAGCAAAGAAAAGGGGCTAGTTTGGAGTAAGCTGCACTTCCCTGTTGTCATAAACCCAATCTTTTTGAGTGGCCAGATGGAAGATTTTTTTTAGAGAGACCTCACCCAAGAGGACTTCATGCTGGGGTTAGAGGAGTGTGTTGTAAGAGACCAGCTGTCGTGTCAGGAGAACACTTTAACAGCTCTAAGGAGAAATTCACATAGCTATGAACTGAGACCTTAAACCAGCAGCCATTTCAATTAAGCCTCTGTGGAAACATTCAGCCCTAGTGAGGCCTTCAGATAATTTATTCCCTGGCCAACAGCTTGATTCCTTAGAGACTCAGGCAGAACCACCCAGCTAAGCTGGTCCTGATTCCTAAACACAGGAGCCATGTGAGATAATGTTTATTGTTTAAAGCTGCTAAGTTTTAGGGTATTTGATGAATACCTATGTGGTAATAGATAACTGATATTTCTCAAGAGAGTTGTTGTCAAATGTTCCCCAGTGGTAATTACTGAAGGGTCCACAGGAGCAGCCCATTTGAGAAAAAAGTCAGCTTTGAACATTTCCTAATCCCAAGGGCACCCACAGAAGACCAGGGCAGTGCCAGTCTAGGAAGAATATTTCCTCTTGTTCCTTCCTTTTGTAACTCTGCCCACACCTCCCTATACCTGTGGCTAGCAAGCTAAGGAGAAAAAGGTAAGTAGATCATACATAGAAAAGATGCTAAGCCCTCAAATCTGCAAAATGAAAGACATTTTAACTTTCAATGAAACTTGCAATTTTTGACTATTACATGGAGTTGAGTTTTTTCATTACTGATAGGGACAAGAGTGAGCAGAAGGGTCAAAGGGAATTGCCCTAGATTTACCCAGTGGGAAGAGAAGAATTAGCTAAGCAGATGGAGTTTGAACAGACTGTGGGGGAAGAGGTTGAAGTTCTGTGTCCTGTGAAGTAGTCTTCTTTTAACCCCACCCTTATGTTGGCATTCAGAGCCGTCCATGCATTAGCTCTGCTTTTGCTGCTGTGACTCGTCTTCACAGTATGTCAATACCACCTGTTCTAAGCAAGGTTTCTTGGGTCCCCATGAGCATTAGCCTCTTCCCATCCCATAACATTCTGGTTCCTGTGTCTTGGCTGTCCCTGACATTTGCTCTTTGTACACACTCCCTTTGTGGTATTTCTTTACATGGTTCTTCAAGTTTACTTACCTTGCTTTCAACCCAGACTGTGAGCTCACTGGAGTTGAATTCTGTGTGGTAGGTGCTATGAGAGGTCCGAGGACCGACAATGCAGGAATGAACAAGACAATCCACTTTGTTTTTGAGTTACCACAGGTAAAAGTATGGCTGAAAGACAGTCCATTCCTTCCACAGGTTATTAACTAAGTGGAGATGAAACATTAATAAGTAAATGCCCCTGAGCTACCAAAGTCTGCTCAAAGATGAAAACAGGGTATGCTTTTGAGGTCAAATGCTGGGGTCATAGGCAGGTCACCAGTGAGTGGACACATGAAGGAGGGACAAAGTTGACAGAAAAAGATAGAAAGTCCAGAAGACACAGAATGGAGAGCCAATGCCAGGGCGGCAAATCCAAAACCAGGATGAACAGGGACTCAGATTTATTTAGTGGGTCTCTGTGAGGTGGCAAGCGAATACACCTAATACAGGCCTAAAGCTGCCCAACCCCAGTGCTCCTTAGCTTGACTTCAAGGCCTGGTACCCTGATTCTGATGCAATGGTGATGTTTATAAACAGGCAGGGTTTGGGGCTTCAGTCTGAATTAAAATACTAGTTTACATAGTTGTCTTGCCAATGGGTTTCAGCCCCAGGCAAGTTCGCTATGGATTCAGTGTGACCAAAGAAATTGACAGCAAAACGCTCTTTGGGGTGAAAGGGTTTATTACCCAGCTTGTTCTCCCAGCGGGAGCGTCGCGGCCTCCACCCAGAGCACTGGGCCGAGCTCTCTATATAGTGCAATAATAGCTTATTGCCTAAAGGTGTGGAAGTGGTAGCCTAGCAACAGGCCAGTTACATCATCAGGTGGTTTGAGTTCAGTGAGGATCCTGGCCATGGGAACCCCAACTTCCCCATAACAGTATTTTGTAAATATCACCTGTTCTGAGCAAGGTCTGGGATTCCCCTGAGAATTAACTTCTGCCTAGCCCATAATATTCTGGCTCCTTTTATCTTGGCTGTCCCTTCCATTTTCTCTTTATACACACACTCCTTTTGTGGTATTTTTTATGTAGTTTTTTAAGTTTACTTTTCTTGATACTTTATGAAAAGCTCTCCAAAGGTACTTTAAGACTGGGTAAATTGTTGAAATTAAGAAGTTTCAGGTGGGCTATTACATTACAGTTGGTACTGCCACAGGAATTGCTTATGGTACTCTCTCCAAAACTTTGCGAAATAGAGAGCCAGAGGGTGGCCTGATGTAAGCTGAATGAACTCACTTTAGTCAACAAATGCAAAAGTGATCCTGCAGCCAGTCTAGACCCTAATGTGGAGTGAGTCAGTTACTCCTCTTTCATTCAAATATATCCCAAGGAGGAGACCAGAAGCTCAGCAAGATCCTGAGAGGTCACTCCCCTAGGCTATCTGATAGGAACTCCATCACTGCAGGAGGCTGCTGTCACTGGCATGGGGCCTTCCACGTGATGAACACCATGCGGTGGTGGGGCAAGGCCATCCATGGGACGCTGAGTCCTTCTGGTTGATAAAGTCCGACGACTTTCACCAGGAGGCCCCAGTGCCTCGGCCTTGACTGGGCTTCTCAGCTGCCCCTTTCCCTAGCCTCTCACCCTCCCGCTAGTAGGGCAGTGCTATTTGTCTTTAAAAAAACAAAACTTCAAACCCTGGCCAGCTGCAACCCATCAAATCCCTGATTAGGCATTTGAAAGGGTGGAGTATTTTAATGCAATGATTGACAATGGCTTCTATCTTACATACCTGCTGCTTTAAAATCCCCATAAAATGTCAACAGGGAGTGTAAGTGATATATAGCAATAGTGCTGCCCAGGGAGGAATGTTAAGTACTAGGAGATGGGAGTATCTGAACTTTAGCTACTGAAAAGAAAACAAAACAAGCACCCAATCTAATCCATTTCTAAAGAGCGAGCCGTGGGCATATTTCACTAAGCCCAGCTTTGAGAGCCCAGGATGAGGGGTTCAGCCCTGCCAATCACTGTTAAGCCCTCACTCGTGGTCACTGTGTGACTGCTGCCAGACTGTCCCTGTACAACGTGGGGCCTGGCTTCTTGGGACCAGGTCAGGCAGCTTCAGAGTCATTTCTGCCCAACCAGGCAGTTTCCATAGGGGTCAGAAACTGGCCATTTGGGCTTGCTTCAAGTTTGAGGGACTCTGCTTTCTTAGTGCTCTTAGGAGCAGCACCTGCTCAGCTGGGTGGCTTTGAATGAGTTTCCTTGTAGGCAGGTTGCCAGATCCAGGTGGCCCAATACTAAAATCAAGCCAAGCACAAATTTACCCTCGAGCCTAATTATTCTGCCTGGGTGGCCAAAGGCAAGAGGAGACTGGAAAAGATTCCAGGTGGATTTGAGAGCAAAGGCAGAAGAATTAGGTGCAGAGCCAGGTCCCCAAAGTTGGAGGGTAACCTGTGTACAGTTTTCAAGGGTGGTTCTCAGTGGAACAGAGTTTGGTGAGAAGGAGGGGAGAAGACCTGGAATATTGTTCTGCAAGGTAAGCGGCAAGAGAAGCCCATTCATCCCAGGGAATGGAACGCGGAGGGAAGGGGCTAATCCTGCGTGTTACCAATAGTGAAGAACGGATACAAGGGAACTTTATGCTGCGGAGTTAATAATGAATTAAGTTCTTTTAGTCAATGAGCATCAGGCACTGTGCTGTCATCTGGGGATACTGTAGCCCATGGATACTCTTCTTGTGCTCACAGATCTAAGTAGACATTAACTGAATATTTCTAGTCCACTGTGATGAAGGTTTGGGAGAGAATGGAAAGTTCAGGGAGCTTTGGGAGGGAGCCCTTGGTCAGAGGAGAAACACAGGGAATTATGGTCATTGCAGAAATCTATTATTTTAATGCAACAAGCATTTATTGAGTTCCTGCTGTATGCCAGGTACTATATAGGTAATGGGAAATTCTGCCACCACTGTAAACAATTTAAGGACTGAATTTTAGTTTCTTCTCATCTCTATGTCCACACAAGCAGAATATAACAAGAGCATTTCCAGGTGCAGAAGTAGCAAAGAAGTAGGAATGATTATTATAGGTTTAGGAGGTTTTTAATAATGAAATATTTCACATACATGAAAATGAGAAACTAGAATAGATGCCCAGGTATGTCCATCATAGAGATTTAATAGTCCTCATGTTGCAAATTTTGCCACATCTCTCTCTGTCTCCCACCGGTTACCTGTACAACTAACCTTTTCTGCTCCAACCTGCCTCTCTCAGAGGTCAGAGCTCTCCAGAAGTTGGTATCATTCCAAACATTTTTAAATCTGTGACTTCATCTGTGTGACAAATGTTCTCTTCCTATCTGTGGCTTTGGGGCTTGTCCTGCCACTTCAAGTATATTGTTTAAATTGAAAAGATGTTTTCATTTTTAATTTGTTCAATTTCATTAATCAAAACTAAAGGTAAATGTAAAGGAAAAGATTAAGAAAGTCATGAGATATTTTTCTCTGTTGCCTTCTAGTACTTTAGGGAAAGATTTTGGTTTGTTTTTACTTTTATGGCTTCAAACCTTCCAAAATTTTTCATGAATTTTGAAGAAAATATCTAATTTCATTTTATTTTTCCCCACATAGAAGGCCAATTATCCCAGAATCCTTTGGTGATTAGTCCTTCCTTTTTCCACCAACTTCTGAAGCTCTTTCTTATATTCATGGTTCTTAAAAATGTGTAGATGCATTTCTAAACACTTTATTTCTTTTCATGGTTTGTCTATGCCTGTGTCAATACCCTACTGTTTTAGATATCCTTTAGATAAATATTCATATCTGATAAAGTAGATCTTCCCCAACCTTTCCATTGTTTTGATTATTCTTGACTCTTCATTCTTGTAAAATTTTGGGATCATCAACTTGATTTGCATAAAAATCCATTGTAGAGATTCAAAATTTGAATTTTATAGATTTTTTAATTTAGAGAAAATGTCATCAATATGATTGTTTTCCCAAATGTGAAGGTGATTTATCTCTCCATTTATTTAGATTTTTTTACATTCTTCAATTAAATTTTATAATTTCCCCTATAAAGGTGGTAACAGATGCCCACATATGTTTTAAATGATTTATGCCTAAGTGCCTTGTATTTTTGTTGCTATTATAAATGGTGTTTACAGTTTTTAAATTGCTGTAGATTTATAGGTTTATAGTAACAACTGAATTTTGTTTATTGATACAGCAACCTGAAACTGTGAACTTTCAGTTTTTCTCTAGCTTCTCTTGAAATTTTCAAGTTGATAATTTTATCTCTGTTCATGATGCAGTTTTATTATTTTCCCCAAACTTGTAGTTGTTTTTATTTTGTAGTTGTTTGTATTGTTGTTCTATTTTGCAGTTGTTTTTGTTGACTTAATTGCTATGGCTAGGACCTCTAGCACAGTCTCTGTGCTGCATATGGAATAATGTGTTGGATTTATTTTTAGTTTACTAATTCTTCATTTGCATCCTATCTTTTCTATCTTGTTCATTGTGTTTATAATCTTACATTTCATTCTTTGATTTTTCTCTTCCACATTGGCCTTTCCTTTCACAGTGTTTCAGATTAAATTATGCTAGATGATGTAGTAATAACAAACCATCCCAAACTCTTGATGGCCTAAAACAATATAATTTTATTGTGTATGCTAAGTGTTTTGAAAAACATTGGTGGAATGCTCTGCTCCACAAGGCTCCTCATAAATCCAGGCTGACTGAGGCACCAACATTTTGTTTCTGTATCATCTGAAATATGAGGGTTCTCAGTTACCATGGCAGGGGAAGAGATTATGTGCCTTGGACTCAATGTTTGCATCTCCTCCAAAGTCATATGTTGAAGTTTTAATCCCCAATGTGAAGGTATTTGGAGTAATTAGAGTTAGATGAAGTCATGAGGCTCAGGCCTGCCTGATGGAATTACTGCCCTTAAGAGACAACAGAGAGCTTGTGCTCTTTCTGACACACTGACATAGGAAGAAGGCAGGAAGTAGGTTCCCATCAGGGAACTGAATTGTCTGGCATTTTAATCTCGGACTTTTCAGCCTCCAATGCTGCAAGAATACAAATTTCTGTTGTTTATGCCACCAGTCCATAGTATTATGTTATGGCAGCCCAAGGTGATGAGTAATACACCATGGAAAGTCACGCGCCAGCTTTTAAATGCTTTGGCCCAGAAGTGATACGCATTGCTTCTCACAACAGATTATTAGCCAAAACAAGTCACATTTTCCCATCCACCTATAAGATGGCTAAGAAATATTCTTCCTAGGGATTAGGAAAGGAAGGAGAACCAGATATTGGTACATAATGCCAAAGTCCACCACATGTTTTATCCTTTTTACTTGTGATTTCTGTGTGTTTTTATATATTTTAAAAGGTATTTATTTAATTTACTCTTTCATATTTTAAAATTATTATCTAATTATATCTAATTTAGGGTGGGGGTTGTCTGATCTCTTTCCTTCTGTTGGTTAACTCTTGTTTCATAATCATTTTTAATTCATGTTTTTGAAGTTGATTGTTCTCTTGAGGGAATCCTGTTTGGTCTTGTTTTTCAGAGTATATTTCCAGAATATTTATATTTGTTTCCTTCTATCATACACTCCAAACATATTGCTGGTCAAGGATCATTTTTGTTACCTGATTGGTGTAGAGATTCCTAAACTCCATGACTAATTAAACTCCATATTCCAAATACAAGAGATAGATGAGCATGATGTTTTAAAATTTTCAGGAAAAAAATTTCCCATTTAGGGTCCAGGTAAGGCAAGCAAGCTTCCTTACCATCTCCCTGTTCTGGTAGGCATACTACTTTTATAATACCTTTTTACTGATGGTATATCTTTTTAAGAGTCATTTTTATGGAGATGTCTTATTTCCAATTCCTTTTTGCTTTTTATCTGTAGCAATTAAGACTAAGACCCTGGTGTTAAATGCCCCAAGCCACATAATCAGTGTTGATTTTTATAACCTTTCTTCACTTCTGACATATGATGTTTTATTTCCTATGAAAAAATAAAACTGGTTTTTATTTTTAAATCAGTTTTTAAGAACGTTAGTGAAAGTTTATATGTGTGTTATTTTAATTCATAATGTTGCCAGAATCTTTATAAACCTTCTAAAAGAAGGATTGAATTGGTTAAGTGTTTAAACATCTATGAATTATCAAGCACCTCTTTGCTATCAGGTTTCCATAGAAGGTTCTAGAAATCCATATATACATGGAATGATCTCTGCTTTTGAATTGCTCCTAGTTTACTGGAAAAAAGAGACAAAATGATTACAGCACAAGATAAATATCATAAAGAAATGGTGTAAAAAGAGAGAGAGGAACTATTCTCAAAAATGTAGATACAAACTCAGGTCATAGATCTTTGAATGTAATTGTTGTTTTTTTTTTTTTCTCTACCGACATTTTCCTTGGGTTGGTTCATATAAATTATTTTGTGTTAATTTTTGTCTCTGAGATATTGAGAATCTGAAGGAAAAGAAATAGCATGTATCTTAGGCCCCAAAAGGGATTTTGAAGTTTATAGAAGCATCCTTTGTTTCCAGTGTTTTTGTATTTGAACTCCTTTCTGCAATTCAAGGAAGTTGCTACCAGGTTGAAAGTGATGATAAAACTTTTGTTCTATGGTTGAAATTGACCAGGGTGGTTAGCAAAAACCGAGAATCTTTATTTCTCTTTTGTTGTATTTTAACTTTAAAAAATGTGGATAATAATTTATTAGAGTAGAAAATAAAGCTTGCTCTAAAACAGGAAACTTTCAATGCTGAATAAATTCATTGATATCACATTTTTCAATGAATCCTTTTAATCATTATCAATTTTACTGAGTTATTCAAAATCTAACATTTTATTTAAAACTTTTAGTTGACTATACATCATGGGCATTATTAAAAATATAATAATTTAGAACATTCACTTGATAATTGCATTTTGTTTTACTTTGTTCCATTTTCATTTCTGGAATATTTATGTTTAGCTAGTAAATAAGTTGAAATTTTTATCCTAAGAAATAATCCTTGCAAAGTATAAAAATGGATGTAGCTATATATCATTATCATTATTAAGTTTCCTATGATCAAATTTTTTAAGACTTCAGAAGAGCATTTCCTTTATATTCACTTTGAAAACTTTCATAGCCAAATATCCACTTTCTCACATGTTGAACAAAGATTTCTGTACTTGATGTTCAGTAAAGTTTGGTATTAGAAACCCTCATGGGCAATTTATCTTTAGTCTTCTTTAGTGGAAATCATCTTTGAGTGAATTTACTATCAGGAAGAAGAGATGAAAGTTTTTTTTTATATTTGAATATTATGCTTTCATGCTCAGTATAGTCAGAGGAATTATGGAATACTACATCACTGGCATGGATGATTTCATTTCACACTCAGGAATCTGAGGTAGGTGTTATTATCTTGCATTCAAAGAGAAAGAAATAGAGGAGGACTCTCAATAATGGTGGCTGAAGAAATTGGTGATCCCCTTCTACAACAAATAAGTTAAAACT